CTACCTACCTACCTACCTACCTACCTACCTACCTACCTACCTACCTACCTATCATCCATATCTATCTATCTATCTATCTATCTATATTATTTATACATTTTTCTTTAACAGTATATTATCTGGATCAATTTACTTATACACAATCATAATGTCTAATATCTACCTCTTGTCTAACCATTGATAAAAAAAAATCCAATGTTAAAAAGTATTCTGTATCTTCTGTCCATTTCTGCACAATCTAGTATTTTTTTTAATTACATTTTCTTCTGTAGGGGTTTTTCTCATTTTTCCAGCGTTGTGCAAATACCCTTCTCGCTGCTGGCCGTGCAACTCTTGTAGGTTATGAACAAGGACCTCGCCTGTCTTTTCTCCTCTTCCTTTGTGTTTCACTCTACCTGTTTCTCTCCCCCCCCCCCGCAATCGTACTTGTCTGCACTGGTGGGCCTAGACTGGACTCACGGGGACCGCTGCCATCTTTGCCGGCCGGGCAGCTACGGGAATGCCACCACCCAGACCGGCTGCCGTCAATGCGCCTGCAACGAGCATGGCCTGGAGGAGATGGGCTATTGCCACAGCGCCACGGGGGCCTGTTACTGCACCCCACCCACCGAGGGGCTGCACTGTGAGCGCTGTGCCCCCGGCTACTCGGGGGACCCCAGGTGAGAGGCTGGAGGGGGGGAGCGCACCTCTCGAAATTGCTGGGAATGAAGTCACCTTGCCTGTAAAAAAGACAGTTGAAAGGGCCTTAATTTGGCTGCTTTCTTTCTTTCTGAAGAATTGACTTCCTTCCTTCCTTCTTTCCCTCCCTCCCTCCCTGATCCTTTGTTCCTTCCTTCCTTCCTCTTTCCCCTCCCTCCCTCCTTTCTTTCTCTCTCTCATCCCTCCCTCCCTTCCTTCCCTGATCCATCCATTCTTCCTTTCTCTTTCTTCCTCTTTGCCTCCTTCCTTTCTTTTTCTCTCTACCCCCTCCCTCTCTTCCTTCCTTCCCACCCTCTCTCCTTCCCTGATCCTTCCTTCCCTGATCTATCTATCTATCTATCTTTCTTTCTTTCTTTCTTTCTTTCTTTCTTTCTTTCTTTCTTTCTTTCTTTCTTTCTTTCTTCCTTCCTTCCTTCCTTCCTTCCTTCCTTCCTTCCTTCCTTCCTTCCTTCCTTCCTTCCTTTCTTTCTTTCTTTCTTTCTTTCTTTCTTTCTTTCTTTCTTTCTT